AAAGATTTCAAAGTTTTATTGTTAATTTCCTCCCAGGTGTATCAAAAAACCTGACAAAAATCTGAGAAAACACTGAAAATCAATGAAAATTCAAATTTCGCGCGCTTTTACCGGCAGTTGGCCTAGAAAACTCACACCTGGCCGCTAGGCCACCGGTTCCCACTTTGACTTTTCGATGCCGTTTTTCTCAATGAAGGAATTTTTTTGAATTTTTTCTTTGTTTTTATGTGAATCTACATGGATTTCTGCACAAAATAAAGCAATAAAATTTTTCACCGCACTCGGCCTTTAAAGAAGGGGAGTGGGGTCATATTTTAAGAATGCCAGGTTCCCGATATTGAGGTGGGGGGGGGGGGGCATACTTGTAATCCGGGCCTTTGCCGGGCCTTGGCGGGCCCTGCCATAAATTCTTTCAGAATCAATACTTTCGAACCAACTAAATTAGATATGATAGAGCTCCACGAGTACTACGAAACGGTAATATTTAGAATGCTGTATATTATCTATGAACAAAGTTACAAATCATAAAGTGGCTTTTCTCGCAGGGCCCGGCAGGCCTGCTTTTTTTTGTACCTTTTGCTCTGTAACTTTGTTCATAGACAAGATACAGTATTCCAAATAATACCGTTTTGTAGTACTCGTGGAGCTCTATCATATCTGATTGAGTTGGTTCGAAAATATAGATTCTGAAAGAAATTATGGCAGGGCCCGCGAAGGCCCGGCAAAGGCCCGGATTACAAGTATGGTGGGGGGGGGGACAATATTTGAATTATACCATTTTGACACGTTTTTTTGAGTTAAAAAAACGTTAAATTTGACTTAAAAATCAGTTTAAAAAATTGAAGATACTAAAAAAAAGAAGTTTCTTCTAGAAAACACAAAAAAATCAAAAAAAAAACACATCGTTTTGGAGGTCGAAAAAGGCACTTATTGTCGGATTATCGGAAACAAAAATGCCTTCCGATTTTGGTGACCGAAGTCAGACAAAAAAAGAAAAAAAGAGAGAAATTGAGGGTTGTTAAAATTATGCAAAAATTGAGTCATTTTTTTTCCAAAAATTTGAATATTCAAATTTTTGATTTTTAGCATAGAAATGTGAATTTTGGATACAAAAAATTGAGAAAAAATGCTTTTTACAAAAAATTGGATATCATTTCAAATTTCAAAATTTTTGGTAAACTATTTAAGTGCAAATTCGAATTTCTACTATTCTATCTTTATTTTAAAGAGGAAATCCGGACACACAGAGCTACAGACAGAAACTTTTTTCCTTTTATATGCCTTAAAATATCAAGTGAGAGAGAGAGAGTACAGAAAAAGGAGAGAGTGGCTAGAGAAAAACAGAAACTTGACTTTGCATTTTTCGCTTTTTTACAATGTAAAGTTGTCTCCGAAATTGACCGAAAATGGGGAACGATTTTCCACCAATTCGATTGAACTAGTTGTCTCTCTCTCTCTCTCTCTCTCGTTTCTCTGCGCCTCTCTCTCTCTCTCCTTCGAATTTTACGGGGATTTTCAAGTGGTATGTCTCTGCTTTTTTAAAATATAATACAGTGAAAATGGAAAAGTTTGTGCAGAAGGAAAATATATATATGCATTTATTTGCACAGATGGATTTTTGAAATTTCAAAAAAATTTTCGAAAAAATTCGAAATTTTTGGGAAAAATGAAAGCTTTAAAATGGGAAATTTTGGGATTTTGCAGAAAAATTGAAAAAAAAACTTGATTTTTGAAAAAAATATATATTTGGTGGCCGAGTTTTTCCGTTTTTTTCGGATTTTAAGGCCTTTTTTTTTTGAAAAATCATTTTTTTACAAATTTGAAAAAATTACTGTTTCAATTTTTTTAATTTTTTATGATTACTAAACGTTCGATAAATCGTGAATATGCTGGCCGAGTTTTTTTTCCATTTTGAAATTTTCTAGGCCACCGATTTTTGGACACATTTTTTTTGGAATTTTGAAGTTTACAAAATTATCTGGATTGTAGAATTTTTAGAATTTTTAGCTATTTTTGAGTTTTTGAATTTTTGAGATTTATAAAATTTTGAAAATTACAGAAATTTTCAAATTTTAAGAATTTTCGATTGTTCATATTTCTTGAAAATTTCAGATTTTTACAATTTTCGGATTTTCAGAATTTTTGAGATTTTCTGAATTTTAGAATTTTTCAGATTCTGAAATTTTAAAAATTAAAATTTTGAATTTCAGAGATTTCTAGATTTCAGAATATCCGATTTTTTGAAAATTTAGAATTTGGATATGTTTCAAAAATTTGAATATTTCACTTTTTTTTTTGAAAAAAAAAATTACTGTTTCAACATTTTTTGTTAAAATTTCGTTTTTTGATATTTTGGTAATTTATGCACTATTTCAACTTTAGCTTTGAAAAGTTTGAAAGTTTAGATTCTTTCAGAATTTCAAAATTCTGAAATTTCGAAAAAAAAAATTTTTCGCTGTTTCAATTTTTTTTTAGTTTTCAACTATTTAATATTTTTCCAATTCTGTTTGCAATTTCCGAAATCAATTTTTTATAAATTCAAATTTTCGAAAATTCAAAAAAAAACCCACCAAATTTCCATTCAAAAATAGCGGTTTTGGTGCTAATTTTGGTTTTGGACCCAAACTTTTTCGTAGTTCTGAATTTTGCTGAAATTCGTCAATTTCTTCATTTTCCGGTTGTTTTAATGTTTCTTCTAGGTCATTTTCCACGTCATCATCCGGTGGAATCGACGGAGAAGGCGTTGGGATCGAAGGGGGCGGAGCCAAAGGGGGCGGAGCCGAAAGTTTTCGATGAGGCGGCGGGGGCGGAGGGGGCGGAGCCCGGCGATGAGCTGAAGAAAATTGGAAAAATTCAAAAAAAACTGTGTTAAATTTTGAAAAAAATTAAAAATAAATGTTTCTTTTTTTGGATTTTTGAAAATTTTCAAAGAACAATTTTTTTCAAATTTCAATTTTTGTTGTTTCTATCATTTTTCAATCATTCTCCTAGTATTTTCAGCTGTTTTTACATCATCTTTTCTATAAATCCTTTTTTTCTAGAAAAAAAAAATTCTCTGAATTCTCTAAATCTCTCACTCTCGCCCTCTTTTTTTTACTTCTTTGTCTTTCATTGCCACAAAAATGACTCATCTTTCTATCATCATTTTTCGTTGTTTTTTGTTAGGAATAGACAAAAAAATTGGGGAAATTCTGAAGAATTATATATATTTTTAAATTCCTCGAATTTTTGAATTTTCCCCCCTAAAAATACATTTTTAGGTCAATTTTTGGCTTCTAAATCCAATTTTCTCATCAAATTCCCCTTTTAATTGGTGATTTCAGCTAAAAACTCGAAAAAACGAACCGAAAATTGAAAGTTTCGCCATTTTTTCGTCCGAGTTCGATTGGAGCGCGTTTGCTTTTTTTGCAATTTTTAGAGTTAAAAATTGCGAAAAAGTCGTTTTTCACCCAATTTTTTTGTGAATTTTTCAATTTTCATGACCAAAAATTGCAAAAAATGCTGATTTTGACTGAAAATCTCTTTTTTTTCAGCCAAAATGTCAATTTTACGATTTTCTGAAAAAATATATTTTTCACGGTTTTTAGTGGTAAAAACTGCGAAAAATGTCACTTTTGGACCAATCGTTGGTTGAAAAATGCATCTTTTAACTCGAATAATCGAAAAATACTGATTTTTAGTCAAAAATATCAATTTTGGGGAATTTTTTTTCCGAATTTTAGTATTAAAAGTCGCCAAAAAAGTCATTTTTAAAATTATTTTGAGCTAAAAAGTGCATTTTTTCAGCTAAAAATCTGGAAAAGAAACTTTTTTTCAGCTAAAAACCTTTCGAAAATTTTTTTCAGATTTTTTCAATTTTTAGGGTTAAAAATCGATGGAAAAGTCATTTTCCAGTCAATTTTCAGTTAAAAATTCGAACTTTTCGCCCAAAATATCTGTTTGTATGTCTGTTTATCCAGATTTCGTCATATTTAAGTCACACACGGGCGCTTCAAAAGTGTCTAGAGTGGAGAGTAAACAGAAAAAAATAAGGCTTTTTAGGTTTTTTTATTGACAAAAATTGTTAAAAACGTTCTTAAAGGAAGGAAAATGGAACATTTTACTGATAAAAAATTGTTTAAAAGTCCATAAAATCAAAATTTTCAGATTTTTTTCCAGACATTTCAGACTTACCCGGAGGCGCCGGCGGCTTCCGAAAGCGATTATCGTCATAATCCAGCTTGCTCTGAAATTCTGCCAACATCTCTTTCACCGATTTTTTCGGCTCCTCATCGCTGGATTTTTGATGATAGCTCATATCATATTTCATAAAAATCCTGAAATTTTCAGAAAAAATAGTAAAAAATTGTGAAATTTGATGAGAAAATTAGTAAGAAGAACGGTGACTTTGTGTTGATTGGGGTGGCAAACGAGACCACCGTCAGAAAAGAACAGGTTGTGGGGAAAGTGAAGAGACGCAGACTTCGAAGCGTCGGGTGAGTCAGCCGACATAAATACACAAAGATTGCGAAAAGGAAGAAATATGAAGGTATATATCGGAAGCTTTGATCTGAAATACCTGGCAAAAATGAAAAAAAATCTGGAAAATATTCTTCAAAATCAAAAATTCGGAAAAAAAATGGTTAAAATTTTTATTTCAATTGAAAAATTTGATAAAATCACAAGAAAAAATTATACAACACAAAGTAGATCAAAAATTTACATCAAAAACGAGAAAATCGGGTTTAAAATCTCGATTTTAGGCCAAGGCCGGCTAAGTGTTTTAAGTACCACCACTTGACAGAAAAAACTTTTATAAATTCTTACAAAACTGTTTTATGGATTTTTCTCTTGAAAAACCTTAAAAAAAAGCATTTCCTTTCCTTTTTCGATCAAAAATCGCCGAATTAAAAAGATTTTTTAAAGGCGCATCCCCTTTCTCCTCCGGCGGGTCTCGCAGAGAACGCAAATTTTGGCGGCAGTTTAAATTTAAGGCGACGGGTGAGTCAGCCTCCTGACATAAATACACAAAGATTGCGTAAAGGAAAAGAGATATTGTCTATTCAATAAAACGTCGNGAGGGGAGCAACTGGAGACGATTTTGATGGGGATGACGACATGATTAGCGCTGAAATAGAGGAAAAATTGAATTTTTGGGATTTTTTGGGTTATAAGGAGAGAGTGTGAAGAGAGATTTCAGAGAAAAAAGAAGAAAAAAAAATAGAGGCTATAAGCGAGAAAAGGGGCGGAGCTTGCCGATTTTTCGATTTTCCTAAAAAATTTT